TCACGTAAGTCATTTCACTTAAAATGTTCACAGTAAAAGAGAAATCTATTCAGAGCAGCTAAGCAGTGTAGTTGCATACCTACCTCTGTCACTTGGTTTTTAGTACGCCCCTGAGCTCTGCTATGCTTCTTAGCCTTGGCTGATGCTTATTGGAAAAATAGGAGGAGTGGCACTCTCCCAAATGCCTCCCACTTGTGGCATCAAAGTGAGATATCACTCACAGTAAATTTTACAGTATGAGGAATGAAACAGTTAGCAAAGTTGACATTTAAACCATCATCACTGGATATGATTAAATACCTCAGAGATGAACAGAGTGGTTCACACCTTTGCAAGTTATTGTTCTAGGTGAGATTTTGGAGAGTTTCTGATAATGCCATCCTGGTAGACAGAGAATCAACTGTGACACTGGTTAACTTTTCGAACTGTAGATTCACCCTTCAAAGACTTAGGTCGATTAATACAAGGATAGTCCAGCCAGTTCCTTATTCTCGGTCTGCCATCCAAAGGGGTCTAGATAGTCTGGAGGAGTAGGCCAAGAGGAACCTGACGAAATCTGACCAGGACAACTGAAGTCCTGCACCTGGGAAGGGAAGAGCCCTTGCAGCAAATCTGCCTGGCACTGCCTGGCTGGGAGCAGCTCTGCCAAAACGGCCCGGGGGGGTCTCGACCGGTGACAAGAGGCCAAGAGGGGATGGCTGCACGCTGCAGCAGCAAAGAGCTGGAGCTCCTGGGGCCGCCTGACCCAGTGGGTAGCCAGGAAGCGGAGGAAGGTGTTGCCCCTCTGCATGGCGCTCGTCACACCACGTCCAGGTACTGCGTCCAGGTCTGGGCCCTGATCCGGGAAAGACACTTACAAACCAGAACAAGATCAGCTGGGCTTTCAAACAAAAAGATAACCAGCAAAACTTTTTATGTTTACATCATTATGTCCTACGGTACATATCAGAATATTAGCACAACCTGGAATTTGTGTCCACTAATCAGACTGCCAATTTGTTTCTCATTTTACAAATACAGCAATGTATGTCACACTATTAATGACTCAATGCTCAGCAGGGCAATATTTTCCAGGCACACACTGGTAGCTTTTTCAGTTTACTTTAAGACATACTATACTACTTTCCTTTCTTTTACCAAAATCCTACAGCTGCAACCTCAACTGCATTAACAAATGTGTAGGCTACATAACCAGTACTGCACATTAAACACTGAAGTAGCTAGGCATCCCTGGAACAGTTTTCACTGAGGGTACAAGGCAGTTCCTAAAAGAATTTGTATTATTGTGGTAGAAGGAAAAACTGTTCCATTCTCTGCCATCCTACTAAGTCAACATCCTCATCTTTCTAAAGTATGTGCTGCTGTAAATATTTAGCACAGGAAAATGCAAGCATGGTTTCTGTTATTGTTAATGGAAGTCACAAGTGTGACTCCCTATTCACCAAGCTGATAATTTACCCTTCCAGTTCAGGAAGATGTTTCAAAAACAAGTCATCACAGGGTTGGGAACGCTGCAGCAGACTAGCAGCAAGCCAAACTGAATAGGGAGAAGAAAAGTAATTCTGAAACTTCACAAAGCTGCTAAAAACATTTGTAAGTGCAAATAATATCAGTAAAACAAAAAATGAGGTTGCTAGCAGTTTTTCTTTTAGACATGATCAAGTAGAGTCACTTGCCATACAGACCACAGGACAGCAGCATTGGAAAAAAGAAAAACAGCAGTTTTGGATCAAGAAGATATTTGCATACACTAAAAACACAAACTATGACGGCTGATACAGCACTAAAATATATGTATACACAAGAAATATACACTTTTAGTTCACCTTTTTCAAAATATGGATTGTGAAGCTGAAGGCCTTAGAGACAAATTTATAAAAACAAGTTGCATTGTAGGGATACTTTTTGCCCCACTTTACAATTCTTAAACAATATATATCTGCTTGTTTCAGAAACAATCCAGTCATAATTATGAATGTACAGTCCTCCAGACACAGTCTGTACACTTAAAGTATGCAATTCTATACAATATTAAATATGCAGAATAAACAACTGCATCAACCATGATACAGCATACAGGTTTCGAACACTAACAATATGATAATTCCTAAAACTAATCTATCCCCAATTTCTAGAAGACTCATCAAGACACCTGTCGCCATGGAAGACTTTAGTTTTGATCAAAGTCAGCCCACAATTCAAACAGTTAGACTAAATAGAAATAAGTGCTTTCAAGTTACCTACCAAGACAGCCAAGAGTTCGCATTGCATTAAGATTGAAAATAGTCAAAAACATTTCAGTCAGCACGCAGCAAGTCAAAGGACTTTTTGAAAACATATTTACCTGAAATATCCCATAATGAAAATAAGCTTGAATAAAAATATTTCCTCTCTAAACAGAAATCACTATGACACTATGTGCCTTGACTTTAAAACTCTGCCAGTTTCACAAGGAGAAGAATAAATTATTACAATTAGTTTCATTTCCTTAATAGATCACTTCCTTTCAAGCATACTGAACTTTTAGTTTGTTGCGTCTCCTTTTAATCTACGTTATAGTCTGCGTTCTTAAATTTTAAGGAGAGCTATCACAAAATAGCTTGCAATCTCAGGTGATTAACTGCGTAGCATTTTACAAGCTGTAAAACAGAGCGAGATCCCCACATAAGAACTGTGCCATTAACCAGGCATTCTTATCAGATTTTTCTACAACTACCAGGTTTGTCTGACAGATTGCAAGTCTTAAGTATTTATCTATTTCAGAGGTTTACTTATTTTTGTTGTTAAAAAAAACCCTAAAATCTATATTGATTGTTACATGCAATTCTACATTAAAAGTCTCAAGAACTGTGGAGCAGAATACTAATATTTATTACTAGACTCATGCTCATTATGGTTCTCTCTGACAGGGGTCCATTAAAATCAATTTTTATGTTCCTTATGTATTTTTTTTCTAGGCAGTGTTCTTACCATAGCGTTTATTAGCCAGTTAGGAGAAACACTGGGCACTGTTTTGTTTTTATTTTATTCTGTCAGAAATAACGAGACCAATTTTTAACACATATTCGCTAGCAATCAGAAGAAGAGATTAAATGTTATACTTCAGCACAAGCATTTACGGATGTCTTTAAAATTTTTAGAATTTTATTATCAGTAAAGATAGAAAAAAGAAGTCCCACCTTCCATATGCTTTTTGGATTTAAGTTCTTAAATAAAGCAATTGTAAGAATCTGCTGCTCACCATTTAACTTGTGAACCATCCTCTGTGAGCAATACTCCCTCTGTAATACATATACATATGCACATAAATCTTGCAATCTAATAATTTCAAAGTGTTATCAAGATGCTACTGAAGCCTCAACGCTTCTGAGACAGGGAATTTAAGTCAGCTCACCGCTGAGCAAACTGAAAGATCAAGATGAGATAGTAAATTATAAAGTTCGGAAGAGAAACTAGATTTCCCGACTTCTGCCTGAAGGGCAGGATCAGAAGACTGCTCTTCAACCAACCAATCTGACCATGTTACATGTGAACAAACAGCAATACCTGTAAACGAAGGCAAAGAAAGAGAATCTCTCCTTATAAAAGGAAAAAACCTTGTCTTGTAGCTAGACTGATTTAAGCCTGTAAGTGAGATACAGCTTGTAAGAAGTAATATCTTTTATTTGCGCAAGTAAAGCACCTGAACGGAACATAGTCGTCAGATCTTTTGGGTGCACAGGTGCACTTTCCTGGAAAGAAAGTGCGTGTGGGCCTGAACGACGGACTTCTCAAACATGGTCCCCCCAACCTTGCTTTAACATTTCTCATCCCTAAAAACTCTGCTCAAAGAGAAGGCAAGCCACTAGGTGGAAACATTTAAAACATCAACACTGAAGACAAAAGTCATAAAAACAGACCTTTGCTCTTACCTCTCCAAGAGGACTTCATGAACACACCAAGTACAACAACACCTCCCCTACCCACCTTCTTGGCCTCTACCAATTACTAAGCCCTTAATTATTTTTTTCTTCCAATAACCTGCCCTTTCCTTTTCAGAGCCCTCATTTTTTAGCTCCCGCAACTTCATGATTGGTTCTTTGTCTTCAGCTTTTATTTTCGTGCTTTTCACCCTTACTTCTGGTGTTATACAAAGAATGCATATTTCTCATATTGATCACCTTCAAGACTTTACAGACCTTTACCTTATTCCTCCACCCACTCACTAAAGTTCTCCTCTCAAGGGTGAAGAGCCCTAGTCTACCTGTTCTCTAGAAAGAAGGTGTCTAAATCAACTGCAAACTTCAGCCTTATCCTAAATACTGCTCTATTTTCATCCCTCATCAGCAGAAATCCAACATTCAAAGCAGGTATGAAGGAAACTGAAGTACTTATTTCCATATCGCTGGAGTTGGCAAAAACACCTGTCATTTCTTGAGGCTTGAGGGTTTTAGAATTAGAGACAAAAATATATATTTCAACCAGAATATATATTATGCTTCACATATATGATTAATGTTACACTTAAAAAATCACAAGGATAATAACAATAGAAAAGGGGATAATCTGCAAATCAAAGGAGCATTTGCGAAGTGAAGAGCAGGGGAAAAAAGGACAATATTGAGAGAAGTCTAACTTGTTCCAGTCTCATCAGAAAATGAAACGCTGTAACAAACTGTGGCAAAGGCTGCAATTTTATTACCAGAAAACAGCTAAAGAGATCAGTCTTAACAATCACCTCGTAATTCTGGCAAAGGAAAAACCAAAACAGAAAACAATATATGTAAAAAAAGAGAATTCAGTGTTCCTGCTAAAAACGTCAGTCAGCATTTCCTCTCAGCTAAGGAAGAAGTACAGATAAAAGGGACCCAAATTGGATAGCTGTACTTTGTCAGAGATTAAAAAGTATTTCTGTTTAACAGTAAGATACCACTACATCTTCAGTCAGTCCTATATTTGAGACATTAGCTCCACTGCCATATATCATCTGTTCTGAACTCCAAAAGGTGTTACAAATATGCAAAACAACCTGGAGTTCCCCGTAGCAGTACGCCGTAATTAAAAGCCTATAGGCTAAACAGCCTATGCAATCCTAATTCTGTCTGTTTGCGCACATGTACCTATACACATGTTCTCCTCATACCGTTTTCCAACTCAAGGAAGGAGCTGGGGTTTGAATGCAGATGTAAATCTTGTCCTCATCTGCTGTTAGACTTGAAAGAGCAGACTGTAACAGCAGACTACCAGCTTTTCCACACACACAGTCAGTTGGCATACGAATAGCGGTGGCACTTCAGTAAAGAGGCCTTAATCTAAAAAATCTGCAAAACATACAAGGAAGTCTTCTTCCTCAGTGAGGTATTTGCATGTGTGCCCAAAGTTAGGGAACAGGACATACTTTCAAAATCTAATTTAAAAATATTTATCTTTTAGAGTGTTTCTTGAATAATATGAAAGATGCAACAGAGAAAAACAAATGCATTTTGGAATTGCTAGTCCTTAAAGGTACTCAAAGGCTGCTTTTCCCTCTTACAGGAAAAAGAAAGATGCTTCCGATATAGCTGGTAAAAATAAGCATGCATACTTATGTCTTAAATCCTCTGAACAAGCTGTTTCCTCTACTACATTCTTAACCATAGGACGAGGAGGACATAAACTTACCTGTTTGGTGGCATATTCATTTTTGGAAGCTTTATTTCATGTAAGCCTGTTTCACACCCAGATATTTCAATTTTTCCCACAGGGCTATGTAGAACTGCATGCATCACCTTGCACTGCGATTCTCCATTTTTAGAAGTTGCCTGTTCATAAAAACAAACAAACAAACAAACACAAAAACCCAACAACTCAATTGTGTGCATTTTCTCCCAAGGAACGTTCACTTCAAAGATTGAGTACATCTTGTGCAGTTTTCAAAAGCGATTAAAAAAAAAAAAAGCAAGAAAACAGCATATTTCAAGTTTCCTCAACTATGGCTTATACTTTCCAAGCTTTTCCTAACTTAATTAAAATGAACCATTCTGTCTGTTTTAAAAAGTCAGCATTAAATAGCATCTAAATCAGAGTCTTAAAAAATGTTAACTAATTGAATGGTGACCTTCACAAAAATCACAAATAATAGCAGTTTCATGGTTGGCTTGTCAGTCAATATCCAAAGTGTTTTGACGCTACATTCAAAAGGATTATTATGACAATAAAGCATATCCACTGGCTAACAGTAGCAATTCTTTGCAAACAACAATAGAAACAAATAGAAAGTGTCTGCTGGAAAAAAATATATATTTGGAAAAAAATCAACCATTGCTTAATAAAGGAAAGATTGTTTTATTCCCATTGTTGCTAGATGGTTACTGAAAGAATGTACCTGTAAACAGACGCCAAGCATTTCTCAATACTCTACAAGACCACCACCAACACTATACCTGTCATCCAAGCACTTTTCATCAAATTCACCTTGGCTTCAGAAACATTCCGAACCAGATATCCGAGCCGTATTCAGTTTGGTTTGTAAAACCATTAGAAAAAGAACACAGAACAATGCTGTTAAATATTTTTAACACCAAAGTTTAGGTTAGGCACCTAAGACTCTCAGTCTTAAATCACTAAGACTCTAGGGCTAAACTGCAGTTTGCCTTACACCTTAATAATTCACTTATGATTGTAATATTCAGGACTAGCAGAGTTTCCAAATTCAACGGCAGGAAGTTACTCTGACCACTATTTACTGAAGTTTATAAGTCTAACCCAAACCAGTCTGAAGTTCTCCTCTCCTATGACAGCGCTGCCTTTTAAAATAATGTGAGATTTTTAGTTTTAAAAAGTTAGCTGACAACTTTTGGGCCTGCTGTTCACATTTAAGCTCTGTTTCTCTTAAGTGCTTGATTTATTTTGAAGTACCTTAAAGCACTACTTCCAGTATTATTCCAGGGATCAGTTGGCAGCTTTTGTACCCCGCGTATTTGGAGAATACCGGGCCCGTAGCCGTTGCCTCTCCTAGCGCCAGAGGCCAGGTATGGTAGCAAATGGCTTTGCTGCGCTAGACAGGACTCCTCAGGGACTGCAACCCCGCAGGATGCCAGAAGCACAAGTCGAGCTGTTGACAGACAGCTCTGCAAGGGACGCCAGGGCCAACGGCAAGTAAAAGAACGAGGGCACCTGGACGTTTCTCCTTCTCTTGCCGAGCATGTTCACAGAAAACATGCCCTATGGTTACAGGGACAGTGCCGAAAGCCTGATGAAAACATTGGATGAAAAGCAAAGGTGCCAGCAACGGAGCTGGAAAACTGCTTCAAGAGCACAAGTGTAGACAGGAGGCTTGTAATGAGGCAGCTAATCGCTGCTTACAGTTGTACAACGCTATTTTTAAAGACACTAGATGCAGTACCTTTAAAACAGAAATCTGCATTATCTGAACACTCAGATTTCCCAAGGAAACGATTAGAGGCCAGGTACCCAAGACATTTTGCATTCTGGGACAATTACTCCTCAGGCTCCTAAAACATGGAAGACGTGGACTGCAAATGACCAGATCTGGAACAGGCAATTGGTTTTTGCAATGTTTGTAATGATACGTAATGCTCTAAATATTTATCATATACTCACATACGTATGCAGCTGTTACTTTTTCCTAGTGTTGTTCATCTACCACACCATTTATCAATATAGCACGGGTGCATTCTCCTGACTTATTGCTGAGATTTGTCTTATGTATAAGCCCGAAGTTTGGCTCTTCCTAGGGCAGTAAGGCTTCCAGTTTGGAATCAAGCTATGGGCTGCGTAACTTGGATTACACAGACGTGTAGTACGCGGTAGCGTGTTACTCTCCCAGCTTCCTAGTTGAGAGAGCAGGAAGCCAACGTGGTCAGCTCAGTGCGCAGGTCCGACACGCCGCTGGGCAGAAAGGCTGATCCCAGTCAAGCGCTGCTTTCCCAAAAGATCAGGCAGGTCTAAATCTGTGGCAGTTAGTTTTAATGGGTACCAAAAGAGAGATTATTGTAGCTTCTTGAACATCAAAAGAGGAAGAAAACTTTTACTTGTTCTTTTAAAAATGATTAGATATTTAATTGTACTACTTGGCTCCTTGGAGGAAGGAGATTGTATTGCTCTCTATCAGTACATCCTTTGTTCTTTCAATTCAAACGTTTCCTCCACTCTTTTCATATTGTTTTCTCCAAATTAAGCCAATACGCAGGTTGAATTAACACACTATTTAGATTCCTCTTTTCCCTCTTTGCTTCTCTTTCATGTTTCTCTGGCATATTGCTCAGAACCAGGTTGCACTAAAAGTCAAGTTCTCAAGAATTTTAAAAATCTAAAAGGGTCTCGTTCAACGCAAGTGGCACAGGAGAGCAATGTCCTCTCGTGCCAGGACTGAACCAGCCTTTCCTCCTTTTCAGGCTACATCCTGAAGTCTCTTCTATGGAGCAGCAATGAACAGGAAACCATAAAGAGCAGCCTTTAACATTTTGAAGACTTTCTCGGGTATAGTATTTTGTAGGCCATTTACATAAGTGACAATTCTACTGCATACTAGCAACAAGCGTTTTCCAAGAACGGAGCAACTTAGGAATTAGCTACAGTTAGCTAAAACAAAAATGAATTTATCAAAATCTGGAAGAAGCTTGCAGAAAACCCCCACAGATCTGTCTGAAAACTAAAATGCCATCATTACCTTGGATTCCAAGGGCTAAAGTCTTCATTCACAAGATTTTGGTGTTGCTGCTTTTCACTAAGAAGCAACTATTTAAAAGTGCAGTGGCAAAACAACATACTAACTGATTTAAGTCTGATTTAAGTGGTACATTCTGTGAATTTAAAAGGTGAACAAACGTAGGGTGTTGAAGTCTCTTTACATAAGGTTAGACCTTGGCTGAATTTTTCAAAAACATTAAAGCTTGAACAGAATATGCAGCATGGTATAACTACAAAAAACCCTCTGGAATTGCAAGCTTTGAACAGAGTTAAATAACATTCATAATTCTAGCCTGGAACCAAAACCTTACAAAACTAGAAAAATAAAGAAAAAAATAACAGAAAAAAATCATAAACATATTACAACTTCTTCTTTTAAGGCAGGGAGGCAAGGCAAACTGATTTATACAAGACTGAATTATGTTGCCCAATATGAGCAGAAGTATCCAATTCGATACTTAAATAGTGCATGATTTGCCTATCTCATGCTTGCTTGGCACCTTAGCTGTGCTAAAAAATAATCTTCACCTAAGATAGTCAAGTATTCACTTTTAAAGTAGCATCAATTGTTTACTCCCCCACAAAAAAAACCAAACACATTTCTCAAACATCAGAGACAGTTTTTCCACAAAGCAAGAAGGACAGTCGTCGTACAGCACTGAGCACAAAATGTCTATTTTTAAACCGTTATGCCTTGGCAAGCATCAGTTTAACACTTGCCATGCCACCAGGCTTTCCGTAGTCCACCGAAGTTCGGTTAATTCAGGCACCATTCATGAAATCCGCAAACTGTTGGAACAGGTCACAAGGTTGCTCCAACTCCATAATGAGTCAGCTTGGATGGCACTGCAATTTTTCCAGCTACATATAATACTTTCAGCAGTTTTATTTGGAAGTGATAGAATACAAAATACCACCGTGTTCTGTTTTGTAAGGCAAAATCTGCTGTTGCACATCACCCACTGCTGTAGCAGGTAATTTCTAATGGGCCTAAGTATGCCTAGATCAGTTAAAAACGTAGAGGACAATGCCTAGCTATTATATGAAGTAGTTCAGTGAATTAATATACTAGATAACACTTTTCCCTGAGTTGCTGAAGACCCAAGGGCCAAGTAACACCACTGAAGATTTCCAAAAACATTGAATCTTCTGTCCATTAAAGGAAGAAGAGTTAATCACATGTAGCTCTTCATGGTTATCACATTTACATGCTATTTACTTAAAATCTGTCCTGCACTGCAATGGACTCTGATGTTGTTTTACCTCATTTCCCAGTCCTGAAATGCTGCTCACTACACTGAGCTGGGGGGCAATCACACAGCTACCCACGCTTTGCCTGTTTAATTCTGAGAACTTTCAAGAATGATACCATAAAATTTGACAGGTCAGCATCACTTCATGCAAAAACACTCAACGACAAGAGAGAGGACACAACTGAAGTATACTCCCTAAAAACGTTAGCCCTCTCCAGCAGAGCTACTACATCATGTAGCAGGGCTTAACCCGCCGTGGAGCCCAGAAAGCTGGCAGACATCGATCGTCCTGTGCATCGGGAAGGGGACAATTATCCCGGAGAACAGAACTACTTGGCATACTAGCCGGACACTGCTACTGAATCATGCTGCACCACACAGATGCTTGCTTCCCAATTAAGCATCTTATTACACCATTTGTTACTTTGAAAACATCCTTGTGAAAGTCTATAAATGGAAAAGAAACTAAGTTCAAAAGATTCAACATACTTTTTATTATATTTTCTAAAAATAGTGGAATTTTAGTCACCAAAATAGTAAGAATTCTTTGTGTAGGTACAGCCTGTTTTCACTACAGGTCATTACAGGCATTAAAACTCACAACAGATATCACTACCTGTCAGGAACAGATAGTCTGGAAAACACTAGCGCGTGCATTGGAGTTCTCAAAGTCAAACAGCCTAGTTAGTACCAGGATTTAAAAAAAAAAAAAAAAGTGTTATGAAGTGAGGTATTATCTGTGAGTGAATAAACAATCAGCGTGAAGAGAGCAAAAACTATCAGGCAGACAATCTGGCTCACCAGGGAAGCTGTCTTTAGGTTACAAAGCAAGTTTGGGAAGAAAAATTTATGCATGC